CGGATATACAGTTAGCTCCGATAAATGACAAAATTAAAAGCACTTAATGGTCAAAATATGAATTTTCTACTTTACTAGATTCTTATTAGCCAAGTATATGCTTGGAATCCTAGAACTTCCGGAAGAATAGAATCTGAGAATTAACCATCAAGTCGATTTATTTTTGAACTTTAACTTAATTTAGCCAAATTTGGGCCAAGCTTCTGGCCGTCGTGCCCCACTGTCCCCTACTTATAATGTTATATATAATAAGTATAATTATTTATCAAAAAGTGTTTAATAAAAAAAACGTTTCCGATTTTTAACTATTTTTCTATCGATTAAAAAATTTGTTATTGGTATTAATAGAATTTTCGAAAGCTCTGGCTTTAAGCTAAATCCATAGAATTATTCAAAAAATAAATTATGATTCGGTTATAATATTATGGAATAGTTTTTTTTTTAATTTTTAAGCGGTCCATTTTACCCCTGGTGCAAATAACCAGAATTTATAATTATTAGAAGAAAAACGGGGGGGGGGGGGCTTGCCAGACCCTCCCCTGTGTAATTCTAGTTTTTGTACTAAGTATTTATATCCATGTGTTTTTTTTTTAGCTGGCAATAGTAATGGAGGTGAGCAGAACATATTGCAAGACTAAACGATAACCGATGGACTAAGAGAATCCTAGAGTGGAGGCCAAGAGATTAGCTACAACACAATAATAATCGCCCAGGATAGGAAGGAGTGGAAATGCCTAAGGGAAGCCTATGTCCGGCAGTGGACGGTTTAACGCTAAAAAAAATATAAAATGACATGGCCTAATAAAACCAATTGGGTACTCAAATATTATCGAGGAACAGTTGTAAAATCCAAGACACCAAAATTTCTGTTGGTAAATGTCATTTTGAATTTGTTCTTCCGTAATTAGAGCTTAAAGGAACGAAGGCAACTAAGCTAATATAAGTAAATGCAAAGGTAGACGCATAAAATCGCTCTCGGTGACTATTCCCACGCCACGTCCGAACTTTTTAGTTGAAATAGAAAAGTAAACAAACATTTATACCCCACCGAAAAGGTCAACGATACACCATTATATATGCAACCATAATGATTTAGAGCCAACAATGAAAAGACTTTTATGCAAATTATTATATACGAGATTGCAATGCAACAAGTGTTTATTTAGAAGTTGCCGGTGGTAGAGGCGTGGGACGGTAGCAGATGCGTTTAAGTGTTTTCGGACCGCTGCCTGTTGCCGATACTAGAATTTTGCTTTTATTCTTCGGGTAATATCGCGGAGCATGAGCAATTCATTAGGGAGAAAGTACGATCATTGTGTGTCGCAGAGATTGCGCTTAAAATACGCTTGAAACGAGCAGAGGAATATCTCGTGTTCTGAGGGCAGCGAGTTAGTGCATAATTTGAATGACAAAAGAAAGATTTATGTTTTAATTTGCTTGCGTGCATTCATAAGCGCGATCATAGATAGGTCGGTAATTTCGAAAACGAAGATAAAACACGATGAAAAAATTGAAATGAATGAAGTATAAGATTTTTTATGCAAATAAAAAGTACAAATCATTAATAGATAGGATAATAACGGACACAAATAAAAATAACGAAATTTGAAACAGTAGTTTGTGCTGGCAGTTGTATTTAGAAAATGATATTCGAATAGTGAAATTAATATAATATAAATTGTTCAAAATTTCAATTATGACTGTTAAATTGTCTACCTTCTTTTGCTCGAGATTGTGTTGATAATTCCTGTACAAATTGTAATTTGGATAATAATAATAGTAATAATGATAATAATATTAATAATAATAATAATAATAATAATAATAATAATAATAATAATAATAATAATAATAGTAATAATAATAATAATAATTTGTACAAGATTTAGACAAAATTACTTAATACAATCTATTATAGTTACACATCTCAAACGGCAAAGTCTAGTTTAAGATCTTGATCTCAGTCGTTCAAAGGAATATTACAATAATAATGAAAGAACAAGCTATTATAATAATAAGAGTCTAAAAATTAATTATTGGCAAAATATTAATTTGTTTAGGACAGAGACTTTTGTAATTCCTATAAATAGAACCTAAATTTTTTCCTGAATATTAGAACTGAGCAGGATTCAAAATATTTATTATATTACTCTAAAGCTTATTGGCAATATAGCTAAAGCAGCATTGAAATTTACATGAATTATGCTGGGACATAATCAGAATGTTTTTCGTCCTTAGAGGAGCATTGTGAATTTCATACCGAAACACTAGACAATCTTTCGGGTACGTTGGTAAAGAATATTCCATAACCTTAAATGCAACAATTGCGAGTAATAATTGAAACAGGTAGTTCGTTTTGAGACAATTCAACGCAAATATTATTTCTGATATACAATCAGACTTTCTCAAACCATAAACGAATCCGGGCACAGCTGTTCTGGATTTTTTGTAATCTGGATTTATCAGCAAATGTTAAGAATTGATAGTATAATGGAAAACAGTGTATAACTTTAGAAAGGGTACATGCCTCGTACTTTAAAATTCAATATATGTTTATTTGCATATAGCGTTTCGAGAAATATATAAGTCGTTTTACATAAATTAGACATGTGGCCAGTATATGTCAATTGACCATCCATTATCAGTCCTAAGTTTTTTACTTCATTTATAAATTGAAGATCTTCATTTTCATTTTTCATTTTAAGATTGAAACTAAGATTAGCTTCGACGTTATCATAATTAGTTGAGTTAAATGTATGTAACAGTTAGGTGTCATCAGCATAGGAATGAATTTGAGAAAATTTGACCACCTTATGTACCAGAAGTACAAGAGATGTCCAAGAATTGAACCCTGTGGCACCTCCGAAGTAACGTTACCCAAATCTGATATACCGATATTATTTCTAACGAACTGCTGCCTATTATTTAAATAAAACTGGAGAAAAAAGATACAGATCGATTCGTGAAACCAACCCAGTATCCCCGCTGGTATTGTTTTTAAACGGTTCCGGATCGTAGCAGCATCTTTAGAGGTAAGAAATTTTAAATATGCAACTTTTTCCCTTCTGAGCAATGACAAAGCTTAGTTACGTACAGTTTTGTATCTATTAAGGTTTTGGATTGTATTTTTGAAATGCTCCATCTCTCTCGTTTCTTATCTGCTTTACTTCATCCGTAAGCTATGGCGCAAAGGGTTTGCTCAGCCAAACTGTTTTAGTTGGGATATGAATGTGAAAACTGGCTAAAATATTGCCCGTTAAAAACTTAATCTTTTATTCAATGTTATTAATATAATAAAATAATCTAAATGGAGAAATAAATAGGTAAATTATTAAAATGGGCAATTTTTCGGTTCTTCAACACCAGAAATTCCACCTTCGTGTTTCGAAACGACAAGATTATTATTATTATTATATATGTTATTGCAAATTTAAATATTACGTAGTTTGCGCACATACTAAATTAGCAAATTAAGTGAAAGTTTTATTCGGTGCCAGCTCACAAAATTTAAATGCAAATTACGGCAAACTTTGGAATAACAATTACGATAAATTCAAGTAATACTATTCTGGTTTCTTCGACATGAATAATGGGCTCAAGCAGAGTAGTTCCCCTTCACCTCAACTATTTAACGTAGCATTGGAATAAACCATAAGGAATGTTAAAATCGAGACATCAACCCATAAAGACCCAACCTACTCCTGGCATTCGCAGACGATTTGGACATGATTGGCAACAGACACTTTTCTAAGGTTCGGAAAAGTAAACCTAAATATAAATGTATCTCACCAAGTATATGTATCTCAATAGGAATAACCGTAACAGGGACAGAAAAGGACAAAACTTTGAGTGGGTAAAATAATTCAAACATCTGGTCACGAGAATTAGAGAAAACAATGGCACCACAGACGAAATAAATAATAGGATCCAAGCTGCGAACCTTGAAAACCAAAGAGGTAACAGATCAATCATATAACCTGGTTGCGAGACCTCGACACTAACCATTGCAAATGAACGACGATTAAAGATATTGGTGTTGACGAAAATATTCTACTGTATGCAGATGGGTAATGTAACTAACGAAGTAAAGTTCAGGAGACTATAGTGGACAGTTCACGTAAAAAGAATGGTAGACAACAGAATAACGAAAGTAATATGGGATCTGCCCCAACAAGGAAACGTATTTTAGGTCAACAAAGACTTAGGTTGAGAGATAATATTGGAAAAAAATGACCCGGTAGTAATGCTAGACAGAGAAAGATGAAGACATGTAATAGGGTCGGCAAAAATCCACCCAGAGTATATGAAGGCACGAAGAGAGAATACTAAATAGCAATTTTGACATTAGAAACGTACGAAATATACAATTAATTTTACATAAAAAAATTGAGTAAATATTACAGAAATTTAATTGGCAATAGCCTTGAATATTTTGTTATGAAATAGCAGTAATTTTGGGTAAACATTACCATAAATTCAGCTTAGATTCTAGGACTAAACTATCATAATTAATTTGTTTGTGCTATAATCATAAGAAAAATTGAAAAAAGTTTCTCCTCCAAGTGTTCTTGGATGCTCTCAATGAGGTTTATACTGCATTAAACGAAACTTTTTCCGAAGGATTTATTTCATTTTGTCCTACCTCCAAAGAACTACAATTATGACTTAAATTGAACTTTAGAAGCTTTGGTTGATAGCAATTTTTTTCAAGCAAATTTGTGCAGTTAACAAAACTATAATTTGTCGTACAAAAATATTGAAAAAATTGAAAATATGAAGTGGTTTTTATAATCGATATATATTCTGAATAAAACTTGAATCTTTTATATTTTTAACATCAGCGTGTTCTTCCGTAATAACCGTTTAAAATTTATTGTATACACCATACAGGGAGACCGGCCATAGGCAGAAGGTTTGAAAAGTTATTTTTTACCCAAATAACTAAAAAATAGAATGTTGTCATTTTTCATCTATATCATCTACTATTAGCGATTACTTACCGGACCGAATAGACTCTTTCTCGTCGTCTTCATCACTATCGATATGAGGGATCGAACCAACAAATTCAAACATGGGACTGGTTTGTATGGAACTATCCTTTTTGGAGACTGTGTTTTCCGGAAGCCTGCACAAGCATTGACACGCGCAACTGACCAGTTCGTCATCCTGTCGTTCTAGAGGCAAATACTGATGACATTGGGGGCAAGGAAACGTCAGATCGTCCAAAGGAACCTAAAAACGAAACGACGGCCGATACAGAAAATGGCGACGTGTAATACGCACTGATATACTTACACGTTTGATGGCATGTTCCACTGATACCAATAGGTTCTGCAGCAACTCGGGAAGAGCAGCGCTCTCGCACTCATCCACGTAGCTGACCTCGAGGTCAGCCACGGTGCGTATACTCGAGCACATTATATCATCGATGGAGTACAATGGGTTTGAAAATTGTGCCAAAGTGTGCCAGCTGATCTGGTTACGTAGCTTCCAGATTACAGCTACCTGCGGTGAAAAAATATATTCTCAACAAAATTTATCAATAATCATTGAAAAATGGTTTTTAATATGCTACTTCAGTCACGAGTTTTGTCACGAGCGGAGCGCAGTGAAATGAGCAAAAAGTAGATCTTAAAATACTATTAGTGTTTCAAATCTGAAATAATCATCATAAAAAGGTATAATAATAATAGTAATAGTAATAATAAAGTTTAATAAACTCCAGACACTGCGCTCCGCCTATGCCTCACACGAATTCGTGACTAAAGTGAAGTTTATTAAGCTCGTTTGGCTTTTGCATCCAAACTCTATCATATCAGCAACTGAAAAATTATCTGGTCAAAAAAATAATCAGTTTTAAAATTGCTTTCAATGGAATAGTACAATATTTTACGATTATATTGGTAAATTTTCGACGAAGTAGGTTAGTTGTCTTCTACGTTTATGGTAAAAAAACTGTAATCTTTGATTAATTTTGAAGTTGTTTTGCGTGTTTAAAACGCGTTGTAGTCAGTCTTCTGAAAATTAAACAACACAAAAAAAAAATTTGGACGAAAACAAGCATTTTTTATTCGTGACATCTTTCACTTTCGGTCATAAAAATAGCACGCGATAAAACAATAAGTAGACACTGCACGTCGCATTTCAACTTTCGATCAAAATATTTACACGACATCTTATTTGTCATTTTTAAGCTAGGTTCGTGGCCAATTCCGTTTTAATGCCATTGCAAAATAGCAAGTCACGCAAATTAAATGATTCGAAATTATTAGGCATAAAATCCAGACTTCCAGCATAAATATTTTAACAGAAAACAGACATTAATGTGCTCTTTTCGCCGACCTTATTGAATTTATGTAATTTTTTTTCTGAAATTATCGAAAAAAGTAACGATTTTCCCGGTTCAGATTACGAGCTTATTTAAAATGTAATCCGTCAACTCCTAACACTCATACACAAAGTATAATCATAATATGTTCTCAAAACAGAAGAGAATATCAATCGAATCCCGTAAACTATCGTGGAATAACACTGCTTAATAGCATCCTCAAAGCATTCACAAAAAATATACTGGGAGAAGTCACCAAAGCCATAATATTGACGAGAGTATACGAGAAGAACAACAAGGTTTTCGGAGGAACAGATCCACCATTGATGCAATATTTATTGTCAAACAAATATGCGAAAAATCGTTAGAATTCAATTAAACTGCTTATATATGTTTTTTGCCGATATGACCAAGGTTTTCGATAGAGTGTGTTTAAAGGATGTTCTAGAAATCATGAGAACGGAAGGTTTAAACCATAGTTTGATTAACCTAATACATGATATAAACACCCATGGATAAAATAATAGAAAACCTTCAGCCAGACGATGCTGTTCTTATTGCAGATTCTGACGATAATCTCCAAAGACTACAACACTTTTTTAAAACTAAAGCAACATCCGGAAAGCTAAACGCTTAGTAACATGTAAAGAACCTATAAGATGTAAGCTGGAAATCGATTTAAAAATAATAAAACAGGTCACTTTAAATATTTGGATTCAGAAATAACGAGTAAACAACACATTCTTCCATGCCGTCTGCTACGCAGACGATGCTGTTCTTATCGCAGATTCTGAAGATAATCTCCAAAGACTACTACACTCTTTTAACACCAAAGCAAAATAATTAAACATGTTCATCAACACCGAGAAGACCAACTGCTTAGTAACGTCCAAAGAACCTATAAGATGGAAGTTGGAAATCGATTCAAAAAAATTAGAACAGGTAAATCATCTGGGTGCAGAAATAACGTGTAACGGAGGAAGTAAGAGAGCAAACAATGAAAGCAGCTCGAATAGTGGGATGTCTGAAAGAAATTATATCGAAGAACAAATACTTTAATACGGAGAGCAAAATCAAGATATATAGAACAGCTATAAGACCCATTATAACATACACAGCAGAAACAAGAGTAGATACAAACAGAACTCTACAAATGATGAGAACACTTGAAATGAATACATACGGGGTAAAACTTTGTATGACAGAATACACATAAAAAGAATGGAAGATGGCAGACTCATCAAGAACGCAAAAATGAACAACCCAGTAGGGAAAAAAGATCTCAAGGAAGACCGCCAAAACGGTGGCAATGAACAGGCAGTAGCCTACTAATACGGAATCCACGTTAGAAAGAAGAAGGAAAAGAAGAATGCTGATTTTCAATTTTCATATTAAGCAAATGATTGGTTTTGGGCTCGGTTTATGAAAATTCTTATGTGGTCAACGTTTCGGACGTTTTATTGCCTTCATGAGGACTAATAAGGATGATTTTCTGTGTTAATAAATAGAGTAAAATTATGGACCTTAGCTCACACATGTCGCGATTCAAATTTCAGTCGTCATGATTTTTAAAAACATATTTGGTGTACTTACCTCAAAGCCAGGTTGGCTGCGAGTTCGTACGCAAACGTAACAGTCGCGATTACGTAGAACGGAAGGATCAGGGGGTGCAAGATGGACGACTACTCCGGACCGGCCGAGACACAAGGGCCATCCCGAAGGAGTAGAGGTATCAACAGAATGTTCATCCTGAAAAAAGAGGTAGATAGACGATTAGATTGCAAATTGCCGTAGCGTCCACACAGGAAGTTAGAATTTCACAGACATTTTAATTTTAATGAATATTTAAAACATATATAGTCCGGCAAATTCAATTACCGAGAATGTAAATTTCACAATCTTCGGTTAGCAGTTCCTCATTGTTTTTAACGAACCACATTGCTACACACCTACCACACAAACGTATCGCTGCAAAGGTGTGTGTAAAATGTCACCTATATACGATTTTATGATGATTAATTTTCGATCTAATGGAACTGCAATTCCTATTTAAATTACATGCGATTTATCGCGATTCAAATTAAGTGGAAAGCAAATGGCGACGAGAAAACACGAGGGCTCTTGCTTCATTACGCTACCAAGACGTTTTTTTTTATTTCCACTGATTGCTTGTCGTTTTCCAAGTTAATGCTCTCAAATGCACCTCGGGATTCTTAACTACATTTTATCAGCCAAAGTTTGCTTGATAGGATGGAAGTTAACAAAGACAGAACCCAATTTGCGTATAACTTGTCTAAAGTGTATGAAGGGGTCAGATCATGGAAAGTGCTTTAGAAATTAGAAGATCACTTCTGTTATTGCATAATGTAGTTCATTATCTAGTAGATGCAATTCATACTGGAAGGTACTAAAAAGGTCTATTGAGAACTCAAGACCACAAGGCGCATTTGCTAAGTTCTTCAAATTCCCTCATCTTGTTCCTCACTTACTAAGTGACTGTGTAAAGAGTGAACTTTAATGCTCAATGCTCAAAGAGATCGCAATCTGCAAACCATTTCATTGGCCAGCATATCCTATATTAATCGTGAATTTCTATTTAGTCCATCGAATTCTTTTCTCTATTATGAGTGAAAGAAATAACAATGTAAATTTAATGAAAACAATTATACCTTACTACAATATATGACGTTGGTAACGCACATGTACATGTTTCTGCTCTCCCAGTGGTACAAGAAGCAAGGATATTTACTGGTCAAGAAGAAAATAAATTATTTTTAAGTTTACACAAATCACCTTCTCTAATAAAACCAAAGCGAACCTTCCTTCATTCTTGTTCGGTTCCAAATAGATATTGTTTGTAATCATTGTAAGTAAACGTATTTCTACACCATTGAATATTACCTTGTTTAATTGGAGTTTTACAATACAGTTCTTAGTATACAAAGGTGTCTATCAAAATTGGAGATGATGGAAAACTGATTTCATATTTACATTTAGCTTTTCAAGTATCAATAATATAACCTCTATAATCCTCATCAATAAGATTTTTTTAGGCCTACAACAATCTCCACATCCAACATGTATTGTATTCCTGTCTTCGAGATTCCTTACATAGAAGTGTAACTGATTAACTAAATGTATAGTTCCCTAAATCACCGAAGTAAATATCGGGAAGCAGAGGGTGCATATTTGACTAAGGTGATGGAACCTGTAACTCAAAAAAGTGGTGAACATTCTGATCTGTAGACCTTCTGAGAGGACAATTTGGAATGTGGTTCAAAAATTTGAGCAAATTGGTTCTGTAACTAACCTCAAAGTCCCTCAACGTGCACGTGCAGGTCGGTCAGATCAAAATATTGCCTTGTTCGCGAAAGTGTAGCCGAAGATCCAAACACATCGATTAGTCATCGATCGCAGCAAGTGGGCCTTACGTATTCAACCACACAGCGAATTTTAACAAAAGACTTGCATCTACACCCATATAAAGTCCAAATAACTCAGGAGTTGAAACCCCAAGATCATCAACAGCGCCGCGTGTTTGCAGAATCGATACGAGAACAACGGGTTCATTTTTCAACGAAAATCATCTTTAGCGATGAGGCACATTTTCACGTTCGTGGCTTTGTAAACAAACACAATGTTCGTATTTAGGGATTAGAAAATCCAAGAGAGATTGTTCAAAAAGCAATGCATCCTCAAAAAGTGACTGTTTGGTGCGCATTTTGGTGCGGAGAAATAATTGGCCTTTTTTTTTTTCGAGGATAATGCAGAGAACGCTGTTACGGTTAATGGTGTTCGCTATCGAAAAATGATATCTGATATTTTCTTGGAGCAGTTGGAAGATATTTGTGGTTCCAACAGGATGGAGCCACTTGTCACACATCCAGAGCAACGACGCAATTGCTGCGGGGCAAGTTTCCTGGTCGGATTATGTCACGTAACGGCGATATCAATTAGCCGCCGCGATCATGTGATCTTACTCCCCTAGATTTTTTTGGGGGTATCTAAAAGGCAGAGTGTATAGAAATAAGCCAGACACTATTCAAGAGCTGAAACAGGGGATTAGACGCGAAATAGCCGGCATAGAACCTGAATTGTGTCAAAAAGTGATAGGAAATTTCAATAAATGAATTACGTCATGCCACATGAGTCGCGGGGATCATTTGAACGACATCATCTTTCATACCTAATTGTAATACACTAAATCTAAATCTAAAATGGCAAATAAAAATGTTTGTATATTTTTATATTCTTCCGAGTTTTTTTTATTATTTTAATGTGGAAACCCTTACTGAATCACCCTTTAGAATAGTTCCTCCCGAAATTTGAGCCAGCATCCCGCCTCATCGCCTCTGGAATGTGCGATTTCAGTTAAAGAAATATCTACTGCTAAATAGAATCCAAATCATGGTAGACAAAATAACAATTCCCATCAAGCTTTCCCGTTTAGTCCTATATGTGGCTTTAAAAGTGTTTTGAGGGAGACTTGACACTGTTTGAACTGAAAAGTAAGAATCAGAACGAAAATTTGTAAGTAGTAATAGGAAACGACCTTGCTCAAAGATCTAAGCTGGTTCTAGGCCAGAAACAACCAAGATGAAAAAGACCAGATCTTTGTCTTACTTTTTAATAAACAAAGTGAAGGAGGAAGTGCACCTTACCCAGAGCACGTTCTTCAATCTTCCCATACCGAGATCAACGCTTACTTTCAGCAAAATCAATTTATCAATTATCAAATGTCAGAAGTGGCCGGTAGCTTTTAAGCGTTTATCGTTTATTTCAAATAAGGCAAAGTGATTGACAAAAATTTAAACTTGCGTATGTAAATTCAGCGCGACCCACACGGTCAATCCACGTTTTAATTGAGAGATTTAAAACGTGAAATTTATCATTCCGTTTCGCAATCGGCAAGTAAATATCACTTGGGCAACATTTAGAGAACCGAATATGTAGTACTTATCTCGGCGGTACGCACTTATATTAATTAACGCCACTTTTGGAATGTCTTTTTAGGTGTACGGTATATGTGTTCGGTTTATTGTTACGCTCCCGGTGTCTCGCGTATAAATTATTGGCTATTAATGAGAATAAATGGATCAAAACGGTCGGACGATTGTGCCGCAAACGAAATCTAAACGGAACAATTATATTTACTGCATTGCCAATAATAGTGATTCTGGCATTTCACACAAATCAAAAACCTCAACCCGAAAAGCATAAATTCTGAAAGCATAGAAGTTTCCGAACTTTTGAGATTCGAATACAATCTCTAAACTAGTGGGAAAAAATATTTGCAACTCTTTTTTTTATTTAGGGAATTTTCCTGTAAGAATCAGGTAGTTGTTGTATTCAGTTTTTTTTTGTATAATTCTCCAATATGCCATAAATTAATACAACTGATTTTTTATGCTAATCATAGTTGGCTATGGTTTTAAAAGAATGTCTGATTTGTGTCGGTTTTAATAATATATGCTTGTTGGTATTGGTCATGAAAAATGGGCGGAAATGGAAGCATTTTTTGTTTACGTCTATATGGCTGTCAATTTCATACTTACGCTTAAAATTTATGTGTAAGTTAGTATAGTATACTACTATTTATACTTAAACAAAAAAAGTCTTCGCTATTTTTCATGACACATAGCCATAACCAAAACTCGAAATTATAGAAAATATCTGAGCACGTGTCACAGTATTTGAGTCAAACAAGAGACAAAACAGAAGAATAAAAGTCCAAATTTTTATATCTACATTCAAGATTTTGCAGTGAGTCATGTGAGGAATAACTCGCACACTGTTCGGCTTTCGAGACGCATTAGGCACGCGAAAGGCACTCTTCGCGGTTCAAGTTCAGTTCCAGTGCTGCAGCGACGTCAACAGCGGCATATATGTCTGCTTCATCGACTATCAGAAAGTTTTTGACAGAATAAAACTGGACAAACTGATGTCGATCTTAGAGTTCGTCGGACTAGATGAAAAAATAATTGATAACATATATCAAACAGCAGCTGTCAGAATCGAAGACCAATTGGCGGAGGAAATAAAGATGGAGAGAGAGGTTCGACAGCGATGTGTACTATCCCCTTTACTTTTTAACGTCTATTCAGAATACGTTATGAATCTGTCTTTGGATGACGTGGATGAGGGAATACTCATAAACGGTGAGCGGTTGAATAACATCACGGATAGCTTGGATGGCCTGCATGCGCTAATTACAGGTATCGCAAACTGCAGCAAAGAGTATGGCCTTGACTTTAATATAAAAAAAACTACTGGTTAATCAAAAACCAATAATCCGCGCCTCAAGCTACGTTTACCTTGGAACGAATGTCAATGACAGATGGGATCATTCAGTTGAAATCACACAGAGGATGGAAAAGGCCAGATCAGCATTTACCAAAATGAACAACCAACTCTCTACCACTAAGAACTAAAATCCGTCTACTCCGATGCTACGTGTTTACGGTTCTCCTTTACGGAGTTGAATCTTGGACATTGACAGAGGCGTCTATGAAGAAACTAGAGGCTTTTGAGATGTGGTGCTATAGACGTATCCTGATACGTCTACTTCTAGAAACTTGCATAATTTATTTCAGGCAACATAAAAAAAAGTGTAAGTCAAATATAGTTGAGAATTTTATCTGAAGCTCCGGGTAGTTCACTATACATTTACTATAATTTATAAATATATAAATTGGGAAGAAAAAACTTACCACCTGTGATGGAATTTTTCATCATCAGGAAAAATACTT